CTTGATGAAATTTGATTGTTGAAACTTGATTTTTGATCCAAAAGTCAAAGTTTGACTTTTCAATGTGCATTTGACCATTTTGCCCTTGTGAATGACTTTCTTTAGAAAATTGTAATCTGAGACTTGAAACTTGCCAGAAGCAAACCTGAGGGTCTAGAATGATCTTTTGAGAAATGAGAGGGCAAATTTTGGGGTACAATAGCTGCCCCTGTTCAATCTTCTTAAACCTGAAGAGTTAGATTGGCGTATCTTCCATTCGCGACTTGAAGGTGGAAGATGATTGAACACTAGAGTGCCCATAAATTTTTACTCTGAGGATTTGGAGGTTAAGGTGTAAGGAATGGGCTTACAGATGCCATTTGGAGAAATGATGGAGAGTTATCGGAGATGGGCTTATAGATGCCATCCAAAGGTGATTATTGACAGAAATTAGACTAACTCTAAGCTTAATTTCAACTGGAAAAGAATCAAAATAAATCTTGGAGCGATTTATCTGAACCAGAAGAAATGTATACCAGAAGAGGTCTTGAATTTTATTTAAATGGAAAGAATCAGAATAAATCTTGGAGCGACTTATCTGAACCAGAGAAAGATGTCTGCCAGAAGGAATTAGGATAAATCGTTGAGAGATTTAAACTGAAACAGCCAGGTGTCTGGATTAACTTTGACTAGAATAGAAATCATAAGAATCTTAGTGTCGATCTCACTGAACCAGAGAATGTCTTGGATTTTCTTTAAATGGAAAGAATCAGAATAAATCTTGGAGTGACTTATCTGAACCAGAGAAATATGTCTGCGGGAAAGAATCAGAATAAACCGTTGAGAGATTTAAACTGAACCAGCAGTGGTATGGATAAGAATCAGAATAATATTCATAAATGAATTGTGTCTGACTCGTATCTGAAATATGTACTGAATGAGCGTCAGAATGAAATCCATATCTCGATTGTATCTGGATTATATTTGAAAGGTATGTTTGAATGAGTGACAGAATGACGTCCAAATATGGATCGTATCTGAATTGTTTCTTAGAGGATGTCTTTTGTGATGAAGGAATCTGAGACGATTGCTACTCCAAAAATATGATGAAGGAATCTAGACGATTACTACCTCAGCAGGACGATGAAGGAATCTTGGACGATTACTACCTCAGCAAGACGATGAAAGAATCTTGGATGATTACTACCTCAGCAGGATGATGAAGAAATCTTGGATGATTACTACCTCAGCAGGATGATAAAGGAATCTTGGACGATTACTACCTCAGTAGGATGATGAAGGAATCTTGGATGATTACTACCTTAGCAGGATGATGAAGGAATCTTGGATGACTACTACCTCAGCAGGATGATGAAGGAATCTTGGATGATTACTACCTCAGCAGGATAATGAAGGAATCTTGGACGACTACTACCTCAGTAGGATGATAAAGGAATCTTGGATGATTACTACCTCAGCATGATGATGAAGGAATCTTGGACGATTACTACCTCAGCAGGATGATGAAGGAATCTTGGACGACTACTACCTCAGCAGGATGATGAATGAATCTTGGACGATTACTACCTCAGTCGGATGATGAAGGAATCTTGGACGATTACTACCTCAGTAGGATGATGAAGGAATCTTGGACGATTACTACCTCAAAAGAATGATGACCTTTATCTGTTAATTGATCTTTCCTGAAAAGGTAAAGAGTTGGTTGTATGCAATGTCATGATGTATGCATTGCGTAATGATATTCTCAAAATAAATGAGATTTGTGTTATATGTATTTTGTATGCATATGCTATGAATGTTGTTTAAATGTAATTTTGTCTTGGAAAATAAATCCTTGACAAGTGTTGGGGAGTTATTAAATCACGAACTGATGTTGAAGAGTAGGCGTGTCTTCAAATTTTGCTTAGAATGTTTCCACCAGGGATTCATGTTTTATTGTTTGAGGAGAACTCCGTTGGGGAATATCGAAAACTCTGTAGAGAGTGTTGATTCCTATTTGGGGAAAAGAGTTCAGGAGTCTCAGTTGTTCGTTGCTCTAATGGGGAGTCTAAGTTGAACTGATATCTGGTCGGGTCTAGGCTTTATAGTAAATTGTTGGGGATTATAGAGTAGTCTACTGGGGAAGAGGAGTTGTGGTCCTTTGATTTGTAGTAATCGGAGAGGCAAACTCAAGCTTGGGAATCTATAGTTTGTTGGGGAAATAAACCATGTTGTCGGTCTATTGGAGAGGCAACGACTTCACTGGGGAAGATCCTCGAGGATTCTTGAAGTCAACTCAGCTGGGAAGAGGTTTTCAGAGGTTGAAAATCTTGTCGGGGAATCATCCTATGAGAAGGATTCTGGGGAGATTTGTCACTTCCCCTATTAGAAAGTGTTTATGGCACTGCCTGGAAATTTTTTACTGTACGTAACCCTTTTTTTTGGATTTATGTTCAATGCCCCAAGTGATGGAGATGGAGACCTGCCCCTGATTATGCAGCACCTCTTGAGATATTTTTGGGAATCTTGACCTGACTTCCCCAGGTGTGCTGGATAGTGACATGTCATGCCCCCTTGTTGATATGAGATTTGTTATTAGAAGTGTCATCCCACTTGAAGTGATTTTGTTCACTGTGAGACTTACCTTAAACCTGGAACGTGTGTTTGGGACTTGAGATGGTGTCTTCAGATGTTCTGGAGTCAGTGAGAGTAATGGAATAGTGGTTATGCTTTTTTATTCAATGGGAAGAACAAAGGTTTTGTTTAGGATTCGCGAAGGTTTTTTTTACTATTTCCTTTTCTCTCTTAGATAATTCTCTCTCTCTCCAAAATCCATCCCCTTTGAAAGTGTGATGGAGAAACTTATTTATAGGTGAGTTTGTTGTGGTTTTTTTTTGGGGGGGGGGGGGGGGGAACAAATGGAATTTGAACATTTTTGGCATACTGTTCCATTGCTTTTTAATCACAGTTTTTTATGCTAATTCAGTGCAAATATGGAGTTTGAGAAAGTGCAGGCATGGACTGGATCAGCAGCTAGTTGCAGGACTGTGCCACAGCAGGGCAGCAGGTTGTTTAAACGAGGTTTTGGGATTTGGTGATGTTCTGATCGCAGAAGACCAGAATGAGACTCGAAGGGTGATGTTCTGACTGGAGCGTTGAACATAGCCTTCATATGTTGAAGAATCATGTTCTGATTGAAGCCTCATGTTTTGAACCGTGTTAGCAAATTCTGACTGCACTTGCGTGGAGGTTGGCCCAGAAGTTCTGAAGTATCATATCCTCTTAACACTTAGAAAATTTTCTAAATGCTTAGAAAATTTTATTTTTTTTAAAGTAATTTCTGACTTCTGATTTTGATGAACTAATTTCATGTCTTGATGAAATATGATTGTTGAATCTTGATTTTTGATCCAAAAGTCAATGGTTGACTTTTCAGTATGCATTTGACCATTTTTCCCTTGTGAATGACTTTCTTTATAAAACTGTAATCTGAGACTTGAAACTTGCAAGAAGCAAACCTGAGGGTCTAGAATGATCTTTTGAGAAATGAGAGGATAAATTTTGGGGTACAACACAACAGATGGTCTTCCAAATCCATGAAAATATTGGTGACTTGCAGGATCGACCAGATTGATCATAAGGACATGTGTTCTTATTCAAACTTTTGTTCTTGAAAATAATAAATACTTTCGACAGCAGTCATAATCCTTTTTAAACAATACTGATTTTGATTGTTACTTCTAAGGTAATAATGTAAAGCTTTAAAGAAAAGATCAGTATGTAAAAGACTTTCAACTTAAACTTAAAAGGAATGTATAAAACTTCAATTAGAAAATGAATGGCAATAAATGTAAAATTGATGTATCATACATACATTCTCATAACTCGTTTCTAGAACACTGTTACTTCGAGTGATTTAGAGTAATTTGTACAAAGATGTAAACACGCGAATCCTATTGCTAAGACTCATATTCATACTAATTCAGCCCTAATGGTCTACTATTAAAACAGTGTCACGTTCATTTGCTGCATGTTCTTCGAATCTCTTTAGACCTCCACGTGTCTATTTGGATAAGACCAAACTTTCAAATTTGAAAACCTTATTGTCTTCGAAGCGCCAAATAATATAGATGTGATGGTCGAAATATATATTCTTATAATACTTCGAATAAATCAAATTCCAACGGTCCACAAGCAAACCTTTCGCCAATGCTTAGCGAAATAAATTTTTTACTAGCTCTTCATTTATCGAAATCTTCTTAAGACCTCCTTCATAATTTCTTTCGAACTAAATTTCCTCTAAGATATATCATTTCAGCTCAACATTCGCATAGTTGAAATTCCCAGTTAACAATTACACAAACAGTTCTAGAACTGAGCTGAAGCTGAAACCGAACCGAACCAAATCTGAAAATGAAAAATGCTAAAAATAAGTTTTAATTTTTTTAAATATTGAAAAATAATTTAATGGTTTGGTTCTTTAATAAATGATTCGGTTCAGAAAATTTGTCTTGTCACAGTTCGATACAGTTCAGAATTTTGAAATGGTATACCAAACCAACAATTTTGGTTCAGTTCTATGTAAATTGAAATAGTTCGATTCAATTCGAGTGATTTTTTATTATAATTTGATTTGATTTGATTCAATTTTCTTACTATAAACCTCCCTAATTTAAATTTATCAAAAATCCAATCACATCTATTTTAATCTTACTTATGTGATGCATTGTCACTGGTATTTAAATTTATCAGAAATCCAATCACATCTATTTTAACCTTACTTTTTATTTTGACAATACTATTTTAGCGATGCATTGTCATTATTATTTAAATTTATCAAAAATCCAATCAGATCTATTTTAGCCTTATTATGTAACGCATAGTTACTATTATTTAAATTTTAATATTAAATCCAACACTAACCACCACTAGATCAATTATAATCCAATCACATCTTTAGTATCGCAGTTTATACGGTACTTGCATTATTGAATTGATGGTGAATTTAGTAGCTTCTAATTTCACAGTAGCCCAAAGAAACATACAACAAACCCACAGAAGCCTAAAGGCCAAAAGACCACTGGCCAACTTGAATCAGATGCATCATTTTCGACAGTTGAATCTGATGCATCAGTTTTGGCATTTGAATTTGATTTATCATTTTGGACACCATATATTTGTTGAATCTTCTGCAAATCATCATCATTCACCAATTCAATCTTCTGTTTCGGCAACACAATGGAATACATAATAGCCTTTTCCACAGAAGAATGTTCCAACCCTAATAAATGACCAATTTGATGAATCACAACTGATTCAAAGTCAACTTCATCCTATTTAATATCACTCTTACTCGACCATTGTTCGTTTATATCAAAATACATAATCCCAACATTTTTAGCTTTGTTTAGATAAGTGCCTCCAACCATTTTACCCTTTCCATCTAAGTCTAAAACTACTATTTTGATATTCGAATTTTTAAATGACATCGTCTCTGTAAAGTTCAACCCTGTTACTTTTGACCAACGGTTAAACACGTTTTGAAACAAAGACTTAATGTTGTTTGGGACGTTATCTTTCTAATAAGCATATGTTAATTGTTTCCCCGTCCACCAAGGTTTAAAGAACTTCACATTCAGATTGCCAAGAACACCACAATGTGGCTTTGTAAGGGTGTCAGTTGTATTTCTATCAAGCGAACCTGTATTTTTGAGATTAAAAAATTTCTGCTAAGATATCTGCTTGCATTGACTCATAATAACATGTATTGACTCATCCTGTATTTCATAACTAACATGAGTCGACTCATGCTAAGATGCATCGACTCATAATATATTTTTTGTCTCTAACTGTTTTCTGTTACATATATAAGTAAGTGTTTTCAGCAGCAAAAGCTATGTCACATATTAGAATTGTGAGCATCAATTGTGAGCAGCAAGAAGCCTGAAAGATACTTCATTTTCATCATCTTCTCAATCATCTTCATTCAACAACAATAACAAAAATCAAACATCATTGTTCAATTGGATCAAGAGATCAAGAGAAAACGTTCAGTTGTACATTCAAGGGATCTCAGCTGGGTTGAAGATTGTGAAGGGGGCTTCAAGGAAAAACCAAGGGGTTTGTCCTTCAAGAACGGGCGTGCTCTTGAGGGTTTGTTAGTCATGTTCGCACAAGTCGGATTCAGCCATAGCGAGGGGTTTGAAAATCAAATGGATTTTTGCAAATAGGTCGTGGAAGCGGAGGGTCGATTGTGGATCTTGCAGGGAATCTTGATAAAGCTCATATCAAGTGCAGGTTCTTACAAGAAGAAGGAGATCACAGGGATTTATTTCTGTCTGTGTAGTGTAACCTTGTATTCAAACATTCAGTAAATTGTTATAAGAGTTCTTAGTTTTAATTATGATATTGAGAGGGAGACGTACCCACACGCGAGGACGACGGTGGGGAACTTCCTTACCAAACTGCCTGCTGTTGGTTGAAGATTTTGATACTGTGATTCGAAATGAAATCACTATGGTTGAGCTTTGTTTGAATAGAGCAAATTTGATGATTTGGAATGGAAGAGAATGTTTATTTCGAATGGAAATATTAGAGTTCAAGGTTTCGAATGATAAGTTGTGGAGTATGAGTCTAAGGCCTTGTTCGAAATAATCATAAGAGTATATTTGTGAAGGTCATTTTTGGAAATAACCTATGAACAAACTCGAAACGAAAAAGTTCCAAAACATTTGAAATTCAAACGTGAGCGGGATATTGGAAATTCAAATACACAAGCATAAGAGTGTTTGAAGACGCGTGGAGGCTAGAGAAAAGCAATGCTCTGCATGCTTCGAACGTGGCAGATTCTGATAGCAAGACCGTTATGGTCGAATAGTATAAATAGAAGTCTTATTGTTAGGATTTTGTGTGTCATATCTGTTGTACAAATTCAATAAACATTCAAAATACCGCATGGATAGGGAAACGAATGCTCGAAAGATGTACATATGATAACACCAGCATTTACAATTCAATGAAAACTCTTTACATTTTCCAATTTTATCTTTTACTTCCGTTTCATTTGTGTTTCAAGCAATTTTATGTTTATGCCTTTACATTAAAGCCTTTGTATTTGAAGTCATTTATTCCTTTCTGCATTTAAATACTTTTCTTATGGTCAAAACCTCTAAACATTTAGTAACTTTTACATCCACCCATTTAATCCTGCCATTTATCCAATTTCAAGTCTTTAAAATTTTCTCATGAATATTCCTAATACCATATAGAAGTTATCCTTCGAACCATTCAGTATAGTAATCGAAGCGGATTGGATATCTTTGGAACAACTCTAATTCGAAATCCTAAATACAAATGTCAGTTTTACAATTAGACTTAGCCAAACAACTATGTTCCATAGGATCAATCTAGTCGATCCTGTAAGTTACCAGAGAGATTGAATAACAGTAATTAAGTTTATTTGATAGTTTGGAAGACTATCGGTTGTTCACCAAAAATCACTGTGAACAAATTGGCACGCCCAGTGGGACTCGTTGTTAAGAAAGTTGAAAGTAAAGATTTTTTAGGATATAATATTGTTGCGTGAGTTCTTTTCTGGATATCGATTTCGCTGTTATATGAACCTTAGAAGTGGTAAAACAACTAATAGTAACCAACCCTTACCCAGAAGAAAACGTAGTAGTGGGATGTCTAATCCAAATAATCAACAAGGGGAACAAAATATCCCACATGGAACAGGCACCAATGTGTCTGTTTCGACAGGGACGTCTAACGCGATCCCTACGAACGCACAGTCTGTTGCATCTTCTACCAGTAGTGTGGCCATAAATGGAGCAAGTGGCATGACAACCAACGGTTCGACCCTAGGAAATACAGGGACCACTGGTTATCTTGCGGGATTTGTCCCACCATCAGGGGCACAAACCCATTTCGCCACCCCACTAACTATACCACCCGGTTTCGAGTGCAACAGACACAGAAATCCCTCTTATGGGATGCCAACATCTTTTATGGCAGGTTTACACAATTCCACATCAAATTCGTCACCACAATTTGGATTCAGATCTGGGGCCAATCAATTTATGACAAATACCCAAGGTTCAGTGGGTCACAATACATTGCCTATCTTAACCACAGAAAATCAGATGGCCTTTAGACAATTAATGGATGATAGTAACCATAATATGATAGGAGTGTTAGCGCAGACTATGCAAGAAATCTTTGCCCCAATAGTACAAAATGTAACTGTAACCAACAGAGAAAACGCGGACAACATGAGTCGAATAGCAGATTTTTTCGCTCCTCCAGAAAGGCGTAGGCAGAATCAGGCGGGGGTTCGAGCGAACATACCCATCATAGAACAAATTGCTGATGACCCACCCTATAGACCAGCCAGAGAGGGGGTTAACTTGGGGGCAAGGGCACAAAGGTTAGAAGCCCCAGTGATTCGAGAACCACAAAGGGGAGTTATAGAACCAGGGGCAAGGGTCGAAAGGTTAGAGGTCCCAGAGTTTCGAGAAGAACAACCTAGAGGAGTTGTCATGGTGGGTCGACACCAAGATGCTGATGAAGTCGTTCATAGAATTCGAAATGACAACATCTTGGCAGAAAATAATTTAACTACCATGATAGAGAGGATTATGGCTCAAAACGGTCTCAATACAGGTATTAGAAAGCCAAACTATTCCTCTCCCATAATAGATTATGTGATGCATACTGATTTACCAAGGGGATATAAGGTCCCTAAATTTACAAAGTTCGCTGGAGACACCAATGAGTCAACAGTCGAACACATAGCCAAGTATCTAACCGAAGCAGGAGATATAGCAAATAATGAAGACCTTAGGATTAAATATTTCCCAAGTTCCCTAACTAAGAACGCTTTCACATGGTTCACCACTTTGCCTCCTGGGTCCATAGATACTTGGACTCTTTTGGAGAGGTTATTTCATGAACAATTCTACATGGGACAATCTAAAATAAGCCTGGAAGAGTTAGCCAGTGTCAAGAGGAAGTTTACTGAACCCATAGATGATTATCTGAATAGGTTCAGACTCTTGAAGTCTAGATGTTTCACAGTAGTTCCTGAACATGAGTTAGTCGAAATGGCTGCTGGTGGCCTAGACTACTCCATTCGAAAGAAATTAGATACACAACACTTGAGGGATATGGCCCAACTAGCAGACAGGGTTCGACAAGTCGAAAGACTAAAAGCCGAGAAGGCCAGGGTTTTTAAAAATAACAAGAAAGAAAGGGTCTCCTATGTCGGAACTGAGGAAGCAGAAGATTACCCTGAATTCGAAGAGGTCGAAATCGATCTCGCTGAATTGAAACAGGCTCCCCCTTATTCCTGTAAATTACTAGTTCCCACAAAAGGGAAAGAAATTATTGAAAATGAGAAAAGTGACAAGTTCCCAAAGAAGGTTTATACCTTCGACGTAACGAAATGTGATGAAATTTTTGATTTGCTTGTCAAAGATTGCCAACTAATAGTGCCATCAAATGTCAAATTACCACCTTTAGATCAAAGAAAGAAAAGAGGATTTTGTAAGTATCACAGTTTCTTAGGCCACAAAACCTCACAATGTTTTCTTTTCAGGGATCTGATTCAGAATGCAATCAAGGATGATAGACTAAGGTTCACTGACAAGCCAAAGATGAAGGTGGATGATGACCCTTTAGATGTTGCTGACACCAACTACTCTGAACCTGCATACATTGGAGAGATAAACATGGTTGGAGTAGATGAAGGTGATGTTCCATCAGATAAGGAAAACACCGAAGATGAGAACTGCGTGTTAGTGGATGTCGAAAAGGAAGTTACTGAGGATCTCCATAAGGAACAAGAGGCTTCGATCGAAGCAGTTCCTTTGATTGCTTCGAAAGAGATCCAGGCTACTGAAGGCCAGGAAAACCAGAAACAAAATTTGACACAGGCTACTGAAGGCTTGAGGCAAAAGTTGGAGAAAGTACATATCACATTGCCAGTTCTTCCTCAGAAGGAAATATGGGATACTTTGGGGGAACCCAGCGGAAAGTTCGATTACATGGTGAAGTATTCCGCCCCAGAAAGCTCAAAGACCCTAATTGAAGACATCAAACCTACAGGTTGGGGAGATACTGATATCAAGGGAGAAGACGTGGATGTTAACATGGTAAACATGGAGCAACCTTGTTCTGAAATGGAAGAAATGGAAAGGTACTTAGAGAAAGAAAAATACAAGATGGAAGACAGGTACGCTAGGGATGCCAGTCTCAAAGATTACCTTATGCTGTGCCACAAAGAGAATGATGCAATGATGTTGTGTCCTAGATGTAGCATCATTTGTAATCAGAGAATTGCTGCAGACTTTGAAAAAAGACAAAGGGCGCGAACAGGCGTTAACTGGCGCCAGGATAACCAGTTGTTCAGATGCTACCCTAAGGCTGGATAAAGTCTTATGGGGTTTTTAGTTCGTTGTCACAAGGGGGCAACCAAATGCTTAGTGTG